AAGCAATGATCAGTTTGAGCAGCAGGCCTTTTCTAACACCATGGCAGTTGCTGGGATCCCAGAGGGGCCTCAGACACTGAGTGGCTTTGAGCCACCCTTTTAAATTTCCCACAGTGGCCCTAGTACACATTCCAGGGCATTATGGGAAGTCTTGAAGGGAGGCTGCTTGGTGCTGATCAGAGGAGCAGCATGGCTGGTTAATTCTGCCCAGGGGGTGCCCTGTTACTGGAGGAGATCCACCACAGGGCCTTATCCTGATCTCCCTTGAGTCTGGAAGTGCCCCCACACCTACTAGTTTTCAAAATCTTGGGTTACTGGATAATTTTTTAAAAAACCAAAACACACCATGCATTATACTTTTGTTTCCTTGGTAACTCCAGCTGGTTTTTTAAGGGGAAATTTGCTGCACTTAGAAACAAGAAACTTCCTCCCAGGAAAAAAAAAACACATAAGAATTCACCAAAGGTCTGTCAGACATTTCAAGACATTATGGGACAAGCCTGACATTCAGATATTTGCATTTTTCCTTTGAATCAACTTTTTGAAAAAAATCTTAACATGTAATTTTCTCATCTCACTCAGCTCTGCATTTATTATTCAGGACAGCCCACAAATTAGTCAAACTTTCAATGAGATAGGAAAAAATGAGAAAGGAGGCATGTGGACATTGATGGACTGGCAGAGCCTGAGACTGCAGCCATATCAAGGGATGACTAAAAGCTATAGCCTGGGGGAGAAGCTAGCGCTGATTTGGTTTATTTATCAGCCTGACAGTGCAGTTCTGTGCTTGTCCACTCAAAAGTAAGTCCCATTGACTTTAGGAAACTAGATATGTAAACCCCACTCTTCCCCTGAAGTGTTCAGAGCAATTTATGATCCCGTTTGCAGGCAGAAGCCTTGCACAGAGAGTGAGTTTTCATCAACATCCTACCTATGGTTTGTTTTGGGGGTTAACCACAAAACCCCAAACAATCTAGCACTCCCAGTTTGCATATCATGCTGAACAACCCATAACTCAATCAAAGGTCGGTGATTAAAAGTGGATGTGGGACACGTGCAGCAGAAGTATATTCGCTTGGTCCTGCTTGCACATGGCTGTGCAAATCTTGTCTGTATGTTAGTTCCCAAGCAGCCGTGCATACAGATCATTTCAGAGCAACAAGGGAGGCTTGGCCTGTCAGGAATGTGGCTGTTGGACTACCACTTATGGCATAGCCTCCTTTGTCGTGGCACCCTTCCAGGAGAGCAGGAAGATTGGCTCTCCTCCATCTTGTTGGCTCTCCTCCAGGTGCCAGTTAAAGTTCACGGGGTTTTGTACAATCTTTTGGGGTATGGATAGATCCTCCCTTCTCTGGTCTTGTGGTTGTAGTTTTACTGTACATTATTGCCTGTTTGTAATTTTATTTGATATTGGTTGCTAGCTATGTGGGGCTCATGACAAAGAAGGGAGGGATATATAAATAAACATTTTTTACTTAAGTTGTAAAATGGTGACATGTGCTTTCAGACAGATTCTAGGCCCTAAAGACAAATAGATGGGCTTCAGAGTGCTTGAGAGCTGACTCATTATTCTTAAAAGAATATTCTTAAAAGAATTATGAGTCAGCAGAGAAATGTCCATGAAAAGGAAGGTGACAGGAGTGATACAAAATAGGCAAGCCAGGTTGGGAATGAGCTTTCAAATATAAGTTTATTTTGAAGCAAAACGTTAATGTGTAAGAATGCTGTACCCCTATGCTAAGGATTCCAAGGAAAAATGCCGAGAAATTTCATACAGGCTGCTATGTGTTGTATGCAAGGGAGTTTGCTGAAATGCTATAATCTAAAATGAATGTTGCAGCAGAGGGAGCTATAAGACAAAATCATCCATCTCTATTAATTTCTAGCTAAGCTATTGATCTACTCCCCAAAAAGTTATGGCAAATGTCAGAAATCTGAGGTGATGATCAGTAGATCAGTAAGGCTTTCTGATGTCTACTAATAACAAAGTAAAATTATTCTATCCTGCTGCCCCCACCAACAAATTAGGATGCTGGGATGCCTACAACTTGTTGAATTTGTTGTAGCTGCTATTGTAATAGCTCCTACATCTATAGTAACTCACATGCAGAATTGTGGTGGTCATCCCACTGTGTGATTCATGAGGTATGCTGGGTAATTGGCTCCACTCTCCTGAGCCACCATTTTGCATCTGGTTCCTCTGCCCCCGAGCCACCCATAACGTCGACCCTACAGTCACGATGTTTGCCAACTCCTGGTGTATCAATTAAGGGGTATCTGAATTAATCCCTCCTGACCTAGCCACAGTCTTCCTTGAACACAAAGGAGATGCAACTTCATGCAACTTTTTAAATGTCATAAAGTGGAACCATGGTAAACATTGATTGCAAATAGTGTGATTTTGTACATTAGCAAACTTCTGGGATTTATCACCCAAGCTCCAGAAATTTATTTATTTTTAATGTTAGTAAGTCAACCTCCCCAGTGCAGGATGGAATATTTACCTATACATTTTGGCTGTAGAATTTAATTTTACTGCATTTAATCTGAATTATTTTAAGCAATCAAAACATATGCTTTTCTAAATATTACCTTGTAACCTCAAAGTACTATGGGTTCTGTGCTTTCTTTGGAAATTACAGTTTACTTTGCTTGCTGAGGCTTTGAATGTTGCCTTTAAATCTTTCCACACTCCAACATTATGGATGTAGATGCATTCATTACCTCTCTGATTTGAATCTTTCTGGTTACCAGGCGTAGGCAATACTTTGCTTTAGTTACTTGTTAGATGGGAACATTGCAGACTAGCAAATAGATGAGATTCATCTTATATTTCAGGTGGCATTTAAATAAAGAGGGGAAAGCTCATGCTATTTTGGAGCTGTCTTACAGATTGTCAGTCCCTTCAAATCGGGGCCATTTGACTCTTTCTGTAGAGAGAAACTATATACTATTTGCCAGCTGTACCAAAAATTATCATCTACAAAATTATGTCCAAAGAAAGAGATTATAGAGCAAACATAGACCATCACTTTTGGGCTCCAATTCTGCGCATATTTACCTGAGAGTAAGTTCCATGGAACTCTGTGGGATTTACTTCTGAGTAGATATGCATAGGATTGCACTGTACATCTTTACAGTGGCTGGATTCATATAACATGAGAAGCCAGAGTGGGGTTGAGAATGGGTGGTTGATTCATGGGTTGCTGTGTTGTGTGAACCCAGCTGTGCTAAAAAACTCTGGTTTGTTAACCACAAACCATCCATTATTTACCATTAAAATTAATAAAAGTAATTCATAAATTACAATCTCAAGATACAGTTCAGTAACAAATACCATTAAAAATTATATGAAAAGCCAGAGAGAACAGATGAATGTCTAAAACCCTCTTAAGAGCAGACATAGATGGGCCCAGCCTTATTTCTCTTGGGTAGGAATTCCATAGGGAAGTGGCCACCACCAAGAAGGCCCAGCTCTTGTGCCTGACATTCTTACTAGTGGGTCATCCTTGGTAGTGGGTCATCTTATTGTAAAGTGGCTTACAATGAAAAGGTTGTGCTGACTGAAAAAGGTACTGCTTTTTAGTGGTTGCTCTTTGAAAATTTCATTCAAAATATAGGAAACCATATGAAAGAGAGGCATTTGTGATGTTACAGCACAACCCCTCTAGGTGTTGCCTATTTGGGGGAGGAGCGGAAATAGGAAAGTTTTGATTTCAGCTGTTTTCAAGCAGCTTTCAGGGGGAAAAACACATACTTGGTATAGTACAATTGCTTTCTGGACAATATATGTATGTTTGTATATGTATGCACATGTATATATTTTGAAGAAATTCCTATACTCAACACTCTGTTGCACTTGTCAAATGTTGAGAGAACAAGATTGTGGTCCCTCTGTTTTGGCTTTAGCATTTCCAGATGGGAGCTTATTCATTCTGGCTGCTTGACTAAACTGGAGACTGTTGGTGCCAGCTGGAGATTTTGCCATCAGAAATACTGAGGGCAGAGAGGCAAGGAGCTGACAAAAGAACAGAAGTGGATTGATGTCTGCTTTAGAACTTAAACAGACAAATTAATTGTGCAGATTGCTGTCGTCGTTATGTGCCGTCAAGTCATCTCTGACTTCAGAGATGAATGAAAGCTCTCCAAAATGTCCTGTTCATGACAGGCTTGCTCAGATATTGAACTGCACAGATTAGGACCTCTTAAAACAAGAACAGCATCACTATAATTACTGAACTAGCTTTTAAACTTCTTACAAGAAGATTCCAGCTTTCTGCTTGCACTCTCAGGTGCGAGGTACATTATGGAGAAGTGGAGTGTGGCTAGCAGAGGGGCAGAAAGCAGGTATGCAAAGGCAGACCTGAAGTGCACCAGTCTTTGTATCCCAAAGTTAGCAGCCTGTAACACAGAAAATGAAAAGTGAGGCACAAAACAGAATCAAGTCCCTCTGATTTGATGGGTGGGAGGGAAGAATCCTAATAACAATGTTAAGGATAATAATTACAGCAAGATGCACAGTTTTGGAGTCATTTAGAAAAGCAGCCTTTGGAATACAGGAACAGGTTCTGAAAGCATCCCGAAGACCACAGTTTTTATAATCCATCACCAAGAACCAGAATGGGCCTTCTCAGGAGGAGCACCATAGAACGTTCTCATTCATGCACCCCTCCTACTAAGTAAAGACTGGATTGCTCAGAAGTAAGTATGGGAATTCTTTTGCATGTAATAATAATTGGTTTGATTTTCTTGTTTCTTGCAGATTTTGTATTTCTTTATGGCTTCCCATCTAGGTCTGAGTACCATCTTGTTCCAGGTAGTGTGGTAGTTAAATTTTCAAGTGGCTTTGTGCTACAACTGATGCTCGAAGGGCATGATGATGGGCATACGATGATGGACAACCCGATCAGTGCACAGAGGTCAGCATTACAACTCTGGGAAAAGTTTAACCATCACTATGATACAGACACTTAGAAACAAACAGAGAAACATGCATAATATCTGTAACATAACTGTTTTATTTTTCGGAAGAATTCTTTTCAGCACAAAAGAACACATGTGGTCTTCAATCTTGAAGCCAGCAAGATTGATCAAGACACCTGCTTGTCCTTTCAACAAGCTAACACAGAATCTCCCCCCAGCAACGCCCGTGATGGGATTGCTCAATCTAGTTTTAAGTAAGCTTTAAGCAGTCATGTGTATCCCGTTCTTCGCACATTTACTAGGCAACAAGCCCCACTGAGGTCAGTGGACCTTACTCTCAAGCAGCATGCACTGGGTAATGCCCAATAGGCACAGAGCTCTCTCGTAGTAAGAAATGTCGAATGCACCACGTTAAGCATGGATTGTGCTTCGTTAAATATGAACCCACACAGATAAATATCAGTTTCAGGATAGACCATTCAGAGAAAGCCATTTGAGAGAACAGTGTCAACTTTTAACCTAATTTGTGGAAATACATTAGATATTCAATTTCCTCATTCCCAAGAGCCACGTTTATAACTGTTTATCTGCATTGCCTGTTCTTTGTAGTGGAAGAGAATCCACACAGATTTGGACTACCATGTAAGGCTGATCATATTTATTTATTATATTTATACCCCACCCTTTTCCTACAAGAAAAGCGCTTGTAGAAAGGCGCTTTCCAAGGTGCTTACATAATACTTTCTCTTTCTCCTTTCTCTTAATTTTATCCTTAGAACAACCTTGTGAGGTAGGTTAGACTGAGAGTCAGAGACTGCCACAAAATCAGTGAATTTCACTGCTGAATAGGGACTACAACTAGATCTCCTGAGTCCAAGTCCAGTACTCTAACCAGTATACCATACTGGTGGGCAACATTCAGCTGTCAACACAGTCCTTATGTCATGTGGGACACCAAATGCTGATTAAAAACTCACTTCCTGCTAGCTTTTCTGAAATCAGCATTTTCACTGGACAGTTTTCAACTGTTTATCAAGCTGTTTTCTACTTTCATTTAATTGGCATTCATCTTTACTTCTCCTGGTATAATTCAGCAGTATTAATTCTTCAACAAACCAGCTTCCAGTTGGAAGAACTGTGTGATTTTTAGACTTTTTAAAGGATGAAATACCAATTGATATGCAGTGTGCCTAAAACATTTTAAGAAAAGACAGCATTCTTTTCTAAGCCAAGACAGCATTCCTTCCGCAGTACTAGAACCATACTGCTAAAGCCTATAAACCGGTATCACACGTGAAAATTTATTCAAGGAATTCAAGGAAACAACATATAACAACAATTTAAACTTGCTTTTAATGGACTGCAAATGAAAAATCCTTTCAAAGGCTGCAATCTAGTGCTCCATACATTCTGTTGCCATAAAAACACATGTAACTGTCAACTCCAATGCACTCTAATTCACTTCAATTGATGAGGCTGCAACATACACATGGAAGTACAAAGAAATAAATGGAAAGCAATGTGGGAGCCCTGGATTGGAGCCAACATGTACTAACGGATCAGAGGTGAGCAACTTGCAGCCCTACATACCTGGTGGGACTCAAATTGCCCAAACCTGAATTACACAACAGACACAGTCGTTTAGAAATGGCACACAGTTGTAGTCGGTATATTAACTTTTTGATGCCAATCACTAATTCTCCACTCATTGCTCAGGACTCAGATATAAAGGCAGCAGGGCTGATTTCCAAGCAGTTATCTATGGTGAGAGCACCCAGTGGATCAAGTCCCTTAGAAACATTTTACTGACATGGGAACCGAGTCCACTGTCTTCTCTACCCTACATTCTGAAAAAGCCACAGAGGACTGAGGACATCTTTGTTCAAAACAAGTTTCTCATTACAGAAGGTCTCTGGTGGTAGAAACAAAGAATTGCTACCAAGCTTTGGAATGCACTTTAACTGGATGTGACTGAAACGTAAGGAAATCAAGCAAACCTAGAACACTTGCAGTGCATTTTATGCATTTATTTGGAAGTCAAGTCTCATTGAGTTCAATAGAACTTGCTTCCTAGTAAGTGCACTTGGGGTCACAGCGTTGGCTGTTTGGAAAGAAGGAAATTCTCAAGTGTACACTCAGAAGAAAAAAGAAAGGAAGAACAAATAATACTCCATTCATTTCCCAACTTTACAAGTTAAAAGCCAGAAGAGCAGAGTTTGGTCCACCCTGTGTACACCCTCCGCAAAAGGTATGAATACATTTCCATTATCATCGCAAACCTTTACAAGGGAGCCCTTTCCCCCCTTTTGCTGCCAACAGTAAGGGCCATGCCAAGAGTACATCCAATGCCAGTTTCACGTATCAAAATAAATATCCTCTTCTTGATTTCTACATTTTGGTAGTTATTGAATGGATGTCGCCAGCCTCATCACTGGCTCAGTCTCAACATTCAAAAACTCCACTCCACAAAGAGAAACTATTTGGGGCCACAAAATATTCTAGAAGCTGATGCCACTCTGGGCTTATTTATCCAATGGGCAGAGTTGAGAGGGAATCAATCGTTTGTATGCTTCCCTGCAAAACAAATTATTGCATGTAGAAGCCTTCTTTCCAATGTGCTTGATGCGAAGGGAGTTGCTTTCGTGGGGAGAATTCAAATGCACAATCACTCACCAGCCAGAAAAAGAGTTAGATATTTAAAATATTTGTATCTTGCCTCTCATTAACAAGTATTCTTAAGGGCTCTAACAAAGGTCAAACCAACCCAAAATCAAACGGATAAAAACAATCAAATTCAGCTTCAGTAGCAGCATGCCTCAAACAAGATTAAAAGCTTAGGAAATGAGCAGTGTCTTCAGTCATCTCCCAAAAATCATCAAATAATTATTTTTTCACTTGGTACTACTGATTGTACAAATTGGCTTTGACCAGGAAGGAGACACTGACTGGGCTTTCACATTGTTCCTCTGTTCAGAGGAATGGAAGAAGCTGCCTTATATGGAGTCAGGCTGCTGGTCCCTCCAGGCCAGCATTGTTGACACTGAGTGGCAGCTGTGCATCTCCGGGGTTGCAGGTGGGTGTTTCCAGCCCTACCTCGAGACACCAGGATGGAATCGGGGTGGTCTGCAGGCAAAGCATGTACTCTGCTGCTAGGTTACAGCCGCTTACCAAGGAAAGGAAGGGCAGGGGACAATTTCCCCCAACTCTGCATTGCATTTGTAGCTTCCCTTCTAATGCTTCATTTCCCATCATCCAGCGCAGCTGGCGGGGGGGCTTGATCCAAGGGACTATGGGGGAGGGGGAATGGGAGTAAAAAATAATAATAAAGCCATTCCATGAATGTGAACTCTGTTCTATTTATAGAAGCAAAGTTAGACTCCGCTACAGTAGAAAATGAGAGCTACAGTGCCTTGTAATATGTGTATTGGATGTTTTTCTTTCGATCCTTTCTTGTTGCCCAGGGGTGCATCACCTGAGCTCTTTGGGCTTGCTCTGGCCATACACAGTTTCAGACAGCCCTTCACAGATAACCCTTTAAAGAGAAAAGCAAGGGGCTTCTTGTAGCTACAATGTGTTTTTGTATGCAAATATGTTTTACAATGTACATACACAGACATTCCTTAAAGCCAGGAATGTGCATTTGGATTGCATTGATATGTTGCAAAATGCGGCCACACTCAAGAAATGAATGATTTTGCTGTTAATTTCAGGAGAAACCGAAGCAGCAGCAGCAGTATAACTTTGTTACTTTGGAGGGCTTCAAATCCCACAGCTACAAAATAGTCATAATTCAGTCACTCCTTTATATATAATACTCCAACCTGTTTAAATTATCTTTTCTCAGGAGGAGAGCTTGAGAGAAATTGTTTGTACTATGCTCTCAAGGATGTGAAACCCCATCTCACTGAAGTCAATGGTAAGCCTCCCACTGAATTTCATGCGGGCTTGTACACCACTCACCTGGAAGGTAAGGGCAGCAAGAAATTCTGTACAGGAGAGTGGATACAATCCTGTGCAGGTAAGAGGTTGGGCTGGCTCAGGAGGGACAGGTCTACCATACAGGTAGAAGGCAACGTCTATTTCAAACCAGCCTGCAAAGAAGCTGATATCAGGTGTTTTCATGCTAGCTGAGGAGAAGGGGCATGGAAACACAATAAATTAAATTCTGACTAGGCCAGTAAAAAAATGTGCAGGCTAGTAACTTTCATAGGCTTATTTACAGGGCTGATTGATGCCACTGGATTGCATGCCTAGCTACTACAGCAATACAGTCATAGAATTAGCTCTTCAAAAAGGAAAAGAGTGAAAACAATCCAATTGCCATTCCCTGTATCACACAGTACATTTCTTTAAGAACAACAGCCTGACCTGCATAAAATCTAAAGTTTTTGAAGACATTCACACAAAAGTGATATTGCCAAAATTAATATTTAACTGCAAAAATATATTCCGTTTTAAAGCATATTTATTAACGTCCCTGAAATGCTTATTTGTCCAGGCAGTTGCCTTCTGCTGTCTAATTTTCATGGACGGCTGACTTCAATTAATTACTCAGGTAAGTTGCTTGGTGTTTGGATTTCTTCTCTATTCCTCTTGCAAAGAGTTTTATTAATTGACAGTGAACCCTGCAAGATAAAGGAAAATGCAGAAGCCTTTACAAGATGCAGCCACATGAACTGTGAATTGTCACTAATAGTAACAAGGCTACTAATGTTAACAGGATTTTCGGAAAGACAGTTCCACAGAGGCAGGCGCAGGTCTGCTTAGAGTTGGTCCATGATAACTTGCATATCATTATCAACTAAAAAAAAACAAAACACAATCCAGCCAAATATAGGGTCATTTCACTCATACATACATAGCACTTGTTGATTGTAGCAATTATATGTGCAATTTG